AGTTCGTTTTGTTTTTATTTTTATTTTCTCGCATGAGCTTATGTGATTACGTTCTCTTCCTTATGCTTTTTGGTCAAGCAATGAGGACATTGCTTTGTTTGAAGTGTGGGGGAGGGATTTTCGTGATTATGCATGTTTAAGTGATGTTCTCTTTGTTTTTGTGCCTTATTTTTTGTTTTTGTTGTGTCGTGGACCGGTTTTATTTGAGTTTTTGTGTGTTTGTGTCATCTCTCCCGCATGAAACTTGATGTTTGTTCGAGAGTCGAGATAGCTAAGTGGTGAGTCGAGATTATTGATTGGTTTCACTATTAGCATTCATGCTTGATGTACTTGATGAATTTGACGGTTTCCTTTAATTGATTGATGATCCGTTTTGACATTGGAACTCGAATGTGGATTAACGGAATTGTTTTGTCCTTTGTTTGTTCTCGATTGGTTGTCTTGAGGCATGCTTACCTTATGTTCGATTATCGTTGTAAACGTGTTCTCTATACACTTGTGGTACATTTCGATCAAGTTGAGATGATTATGTATTGTAATTGTGATGTATCCTTGTGTGTCTCTCCCTAAAAAAAAAAAAGGAAAGAATAAAAAGTGAGTTCGCGGGGAATCACGGATTAGGCTCCTCTTATTCCGAGCCATTCGTGGATTGGGATAATGAGCCCGGGAAACCGGTTTAGGAAACTCGAGGAAACCCCTCGAGGTTAAACCTAGATCATCTCGTCCGGAAACCTCGTTTGGAAAAAGAAGCTCACGAAATGAGTTCGTGGAAGTCGAAAGGATTAGGCTCTTCTTGGCTCGGTTAATCTTCTAGAGAGATCGGTCAATGAGCACGGGAAACCGGCCTAGGCGACTCGGGGACAAACCCCGAGGTTCAACCTAGGTAATAATCGTCCTAACGGCTCTCATTTGGAAAAAGTGGCTCATTTAATAAAAAAATAATAATAATAAAAAAAAGTATAAAAAAAAGAAAAAAAAAAAGAAAATCGGGGAGTTGGCTTATTGATCTCGTGCTTATTATATCATG